AAATACTCAACGTCCTCAAGGACCTCACTTCTCCAGCAACCCTCACTGCCACTTACAAAACATTACCTCTTCTAATCCTTGGAAAAACTTCTGTTTCCTTGAGGTTTATTTTCTCTGGTCAGGAAAACCTTCTCCAATTCTCTGTCATCTATCAACATCCTTGCCACAGTGCAATACTCTCTAAAGAATTTATGTTACCCAACTCATGACCTTCCCTCTGCTCCTAACTCATACCACCCATGTGGATGATCCACACAACATTATCTCGGCTCTGTTCTTAGGATCTCATGTCAAGTAATCTGTTCTTCCACTTTAGCCACCTGGTCCCATAATCACACCCTGAAATCACCTAGTGTTCAGTAACTGCACCACTTTCAAAATCACCAATTCAAAATACATCACTTTCCAACAGCAATCCCCATCTTTCCAGCTTATTTCCCAAGTGCCTTCTCTGGGCCAATACTGAAACTTCCAATCTAGAATGTAAGACATTCTACATGTCAACTGCCCCTGACTCTTCTGAAGAGTTAATGTTAAGACATACAAAGAGGGCAAGAAAATAAAGAGACATAACCAATATAAACTTTGATTGGACCATGCTGGGGCTAAAAAGCAGGTAAAAAACACACTGTGGGGAACAACTGAGGAAATTCCAGTATGGACAGTACATTAGATGAGATTGCTGCTAATTTCCTTTGGTGAGATAATGGTATTGTGGTTTTGGAGGAACATAATCTTACCCTTAAGATGCATTCTGAAGTATTTAGGAGTGACATGTCATAACGTCTGAAACTTTCTGTCAAATAGTTCAGGGGAAAAAACAGGAGAGAAGGGTGAAGGGGAGGGAGAAGACAAAGAAAGGAAGAGATGGAGTAAAAAAGCAAATGTAGAAAAGTTTAACAATTCATCTAGATGAAGCGTGTACCAATGTGCAAAGTACTATCCATTCATCTTTTCTCTAGGTTTGAAAGTGCCTAAAATTTAAAAGTCTGGGGGCTATGTATCAAGAACCACCTCCTGCTTTTGGGCTAAAAAAATAATATATATTTCAATATGATGTGTATATATCCACGTCTTTCTCTGTGCTCATCCAAACATAACTAAAAATATTTTAGGACAAGAAGGTTTTAACTAAAAGCTTGCATTACTCTCCAAACTGCTTTTCTACTTTAATAATACATACAGACATGACTTCAAGTCACAGCTGCACAGTATTTTATAATGAAGATATGTCCATTTGGTGGACACTGCGGCTGGTCAGAATTTTGGCTACTACAAACAAGGCTTTTGTAAATGTCCTTGTAAACAGCATCTCACAATTCAGTCTTTTAACACTATAGGGTAGATTCCCAAAAACTGAACAGCTAGGTGAAAGGACATGTACTTTTAACACCTAGTGCCAGTTTACTTTCCCAGAAGACAGCAGTAGGTCATACTTCAGAGATGCCTGAGTGTGCCCATCACCTTTACTTCACCAACACGGTAAGTTACCAGTCTTTTTAAAAATACTGCTCCTCTGAGGAGTCGTTTTAAGGAAGCACAAGTAAAATATTCTCAAAAGAGTTACCTATGAGTCCTAAAGCAGTACTCACATTACTTTCAAAGGACAAAAAGGGAGAGGTGTGAAAAGAAAGATACCCTCTCCACCTCTGAATTCCCACTCTACTTTTTCACTCCACTATTATGGCACCTATGAATTTATATTACACTTATCTTATGTATTTTCCATACCAAGTATACTAGAAACTCTTTGAAATAAAGATAGTATCTCTCACTCATTCATTCACTCATTCAACAAATATTTATTAATCACCTACCATGTATCAGGAACTGCTAAGCACCAGTAATACACAAATAAACAAGATAAACACCATCACTGCCCTCATGTACCTAATACTCTTAAGGGATAATCCAACATTTAGCAATTAATTAAACAACTAATGCTTTAATTACAGTTATGGTAAATGCTTTGAATAAGCAGTAGAACAGGGGGCAATGAAACCATATAACTCAGCATACAGTACTGGGAATGGCCTAAAATGGGCTCTCAATATGGCTTATCCATGGTTTAATAAATTTCACATAACACCAACTGACTGATCATGATTTATGACATACAGGTTTTAAACCTGTGGTTTTGCAACTGTAATGAGAGAGGGAGAAAAGAAGATGGGAACTAAGGTTACTGAACTCTACAAGGCAGTACTGTTGCCAAGCCCTTCTACATACCGAACCTCATTTAATCCTCACCACTAATTTATAAGGCAGAGACTCGCACTCTATCTCTTAAATGTGGAGTGTGAGATTCAGAGACACATAGTTACTAAATGGCATCCAGGACAGGATATGAATCCAGGCCTGTCTGATTTCTTTCTATTCTATCACAGTAAATGAAAGGTAGAAATTTCAGACCAAGCCTGGAAAAATCTATCTGCACAGTAAAATATATCTTTTTTTTTTTTTTAGTAAAATATATCTTGCTTTACACGTGATACATTTAAAGTTAGGAGAATAATAGCAAGCCTACTTTGTATTTAAGTCACTGAATTAAAAAATATAGTAACTTGTGTACTTATACATAAAGTATAATAAGTAAATTAGTGGAAAACATGTTCATTTAAAAATATATATATATGGGGCTTCCCTGGTGGTGCAGTGGTTGAGAGTCTGCCTGCCGATGCAGGGGACATGGGTTCGTACCCCAGTCCGGGAAGATCCCACATGCTGCGGAGCGGCTAGGCCCGTGAGCCATGGCCACTGAGCCTGCACATCTGGAGCCTGTGCTCTGCAACGGGAGAGGCCACAACAGTGAGAGGCCCGCGTATCACACACAAAAAAAAAGGTGTATTCTGTAAATATAAAAGAATATTCCTTTCAGAAGCCAGACACAGTAGAAGAAAAACTTTTAGGTGGAACCAATGCTAATTTAATATTTTGACAAACTGCCCATATGCCATGCCACTATGTTATACCAAATCAAAGTTTAATAGAGATATGACACGACAAAATATTCTTACTCAGATTGACTATCTCAGATTCATGAATTTACCATTCAAGCTCATTAGAATGAAACCTAAATTAACCACCAACTAATAATTCAACAACCACAATAAAAAATTCAATGATAGGGTGGGGGCGGCAGGGGGAACATATAGAAAACTCTTACAAATACTTTAAAAGCCTCTGGGAATAATCTTGCCAAGTGCCTTGTTTATGTCTACGTATGTATGTATAGTTAAGCGCGCGCGCGCACACACACACACACACACACACACACACACGAATTAGATGTGTGTTCCAAACATGCACAAGAATAATTTTGTGGCAATATTATTTCCGTAGGGCAATAAACCTCTCAAGGCCTACTTAACCAATGTACAGCTAAAATATGCATCTGCTGCTTATGGTAGAACACAGCAGAGTTATAAAACCAGAAAATACTCTACCGTTAAGGCTAAAAAGGAGCTAGAGAAATAGCCAGAAAGAATGTGAAGGGAAATTTTCAAATTCTAAGAGGCTCTGGATGTTAATGGTACTTCTTAAAATTACACCTAGGTTCACTTGAAAGCTTTCCTTTCGTGGATGGAGGTGAATCACTAGCACATGAGATTAGATACAATCACCATCACTAATTAACAGATGGGAAGAAAAGAGGGTGACAGTAAAAGGGAAGGGAGGGAAGAAAGTTCTCCTGACCTAACAAAAGAAAAGCTGGAAGAGAAAACATGACGACAAGTGAGGATTGCATGACTTATCTACCAACAGATGAAAATTAGCAGGGCAAGGTAGATGTGTAAAAATAGAGTCACTAAATTGTCCTGGGCCGCTATTGTCCAAACTGTTCACTGCACAAAGGAAGTTGGTCAAAGGGGCAAAGTAAGGGTTTGACATGCTCCATTGCTAAGCTGGGCTCCCTGTCTCAGGGCTGGAGACATCCAGAGAACAGAGCACTTTTTCTAATTCTCACGAAGTTGCAGTCACTTGTCAAGACTTTCGACCTACGGGCTGTATCCACTCAAAAGGAGGCTTTTTGAAATTGCAGAATAGCTCCATGTGGGCTTGAAACAGGCTGGGTAGTCATACTCCACCACCGTCCCACCCTTTCAGCCTCCAAAATATAGCCTCTCAGCCTCACTGCTATATTTAGTGAGCCAGAAAAGAGCCAAACTATACAGCCAGTCTTTCTTACGGATGTTCTTAGACCCACACTATTCATTCACAATTCAAAGTGAACTTATATTTCACACTTTAAATTTGATATTAAACTCCATTATTCTGAAGCTGATGTTAATTTATGTTGGGCTAAAGTAAAATGATCTTTTCATTACTAATGAAAGTTGCTAATAAAATTTATACTGTAATTCACTCCTTAAGGGAAATAAGTATAACTTTAATTATTTAAATTTAATGGCTCCTCCTAATACCATTATCACTACACAGCCTAAAGGCTTGTAGGATCACACTTTGTTACACGTTAGAATTATCCTGTATGTACGTGAGGTAAGAGAATTGCATTTGCTAGAAAATATTTTATAGTTTGCTCTAATTCAAAGAAGCAAAGAGCCATTCCCTCTACTCTCAAAGTAGTCAAAAGTGGGTCACTATGGTTTAAATCTCCATACATTTTTAAGTTTCAAACTTCAAAACTATACAAACAAAAACACAAAGACAATAATATAGCAAACTGGCTGTCAAGCTGCACTAGACAATAAAAGACTCCAGAATGAAGAGTCTATAAAATACTAAATGCACATCCAGGAAAAGTCATCAATCGTAAGTTTAATTAAATAACTTAATTTCAGATGTATATGGAAAGTATATGATTGCTACAGAAAATTAAATACCTATTCTTAATTAGTATGTCAGTTTAATTCAAGCTTTTATTTCTATTTAAACTCATAGTAAGCAAATGTTCTAGCGAATTCTCTAATAAATCTTCAAGCTGTTTTCTAGACCTGGACTCAATGTATAATAACATAACCTCAAATGTTTGTTTTTACCTCGAATAACATAATTATCCAGTGCATCTTCCATTCTTTTCAGTGCTTCCCTTCTATCAGAACCATATGTGATTAGCTAAAAGCAAGCAAACAAACAAAGCAGTTTATACAGATATAGATCAATCTATCTATCTGTAAGTCAAACATTTCATCCTAGTAAAAATTAAAATATTTCATAACAGATTTCCAGAAAATATTTTGAAATTTCACAGTGGTTCAGTTTTTAGTACAAACTATGTCAATTAAGATTTTTTTTAAGTAAACAAATATTAGAATCAAGCTATTTCAGACTTTTCTCCGAGATTTCACTATCACAGAAAAGAGCTATTTGAGGTAAACCAAAATGTAACAAAACCAAGCATATAAAAATTTAAGACGAAAGATATCAAAATTGTGAACATTTAGGATGGGATATAAACATCTGGGATAGTGGAGGATTAGGCAAGATTTGTTTTTTCTCTCCCTTCAAGTATGACGCCCTGAATAGCTAATTTTACACATAATATAGCCCAGAAGCAAAGGGTTCTTATATTGGAAAAACAGAAAGATCTTACTGTTCTATATGATTTTGTGCCTATTTATATGTGTTAGAGCTTTTATAAATTAGCAATAAGAACTATTCGTAAAATATTTTTCTGGTTACTATGTTAGTCAATCTATAGTTTCCAATTTTTTGGTACATTTAATTAGCTGTTCAATATCAAGCCAGGTTGAAAATTAATTTGCAGACCATTTTTCTGAACAGAAATGTATTCATCTAAAAATGGAACCCTATATCTATAATATTTTATTGTATTTTTTATTTTTTAATTAAATAATATTTCTCTAACAAACAAAATACCTAAAGTTCACTTTAACAATATTAGTATAAAAACTTAAGTGAAAAAAGAAAAATGAAGAAGTGGGTTATTTACTACAACTACATAAAAAAGTACACTTGGAAGAAAGAAAAATCTTAAGAAATAGGAGTTGGGAATTCCCTGGCGGTCCAATGGTTAGGACTCCGAGCTTTCACTGCTGGGGCCTGGGTTCAGTCCCTAGTCAGGAAACCTAAGGTCCCGCAAGCCACTCGTCATGGTCAAAAAAAAAAAAAAAGAAAGAAAAGGAAAAAGAAATAGGGGTTTTAGTAAAGAAGTCATCCTTCAATACGGGTCTATCACTTTAGAAAAAATAGGATATTCTAAATAAAATCCAGTTTCAACCACTATAGTAAGAATTTTACACTTTATAAGATCATAAGATTTGAAAATGTCAAAAGATCTAAAATTTTAAGTAGACTGGTTAATATATTCTGGAAAGTCAAATTTCAAAAAGGGAGCAAAAAGACATCTTATAGTCTTACACAAAATTTAATTATATTAAATCTACATAAGTAATTAGTAATTCATAAAAACTGAACAGGTGAAAAGTCCTTTAACAAACACAGCCTATCACCTCAACTCCTTGACATCACCTGCATTCATACTTTCATCTTGGACAATGTTCACTGGCCAGAAAGCAACGTAACTCCTCCCTGCAGTGGACTGGGTTGGTGCCACTGGTTAGCTAAGCTTGTTACTGTGGTGACTGGGGTGATGGGGTGATTTCACTGGGGAGGAGGGAGTGTTGCCAACTAACATAATGTCGAAATTTCTCTTAAGAGAAAGAAAAGCTGCTCAGTTTTCACTTTTCCATCAGTGGCCATCATTATTTGTTTAATTATAGCACATGATTCAGATAAAGTACCCATTCCAGACTTTTTCTTTTCCCAGACTTTTCAATTATATATGTCCATTTTCTCTTGAGAAGAAAACTGAAAGAAACCATTAAGAAGTCGAACTAACTTTTGAAATCATTGGATCATAATAAATGCTAATATCACTTCCTGGTTGGATGCCACTATCAACCCGGACCTGGGAGGAAGAAAGAAAAGAAAAGAAAGTTCATATTGTGAAGCTATCTTTCTAACAACAAATTTAATTTCCATGAAGCAGATGGATAATTTCAATCTCAAATAACATTTCAGCTTCCAGTAAGTAGAATAACAATCTAAAAATATAGAGAGACCAAACTATCTTGATCTATTATTATACAGTACAACACATATTTTTTTGTTCTCCCACTAAATGAAGGAACCAAGAAAGAGCAAAAAAAAACACAAACAAACAAACAAAACTTTATACATCACTTTCGTGGGCTGTGTTTGTAGCTATTTGATGGTGCCTTCCAACTGAAGGAGAGCATGAACGATGCCCCTTCTAATCACACTCCCCACTCTACTCTTCCGAGAGTTCCAGTGCGGACCCCAGTCAAGCCATGCAGCAGGACCTGGGAGCTCTGCTCATCAGCTCCATAGGAACACTGGTCCTGTGGCTTTCATGTCTGTAACACTTTCCTTTTTTGCCTCACCCTCTCAACTGTAAAATGTGAGTTTTTTTCTGTTACTGTTAGTCCCCCGAGACTTTAATGTTTATACAGCTTTTCTCATGGCTTTCCTTTGTAAGGACACAGCCCCAATTAGAGTTCTGATTTTGTGATTTTCACGGGGGAAAAAAAAATAGCACAAGTTCAAAATATTCTTTTGAAAAACCTGATTGCTGTTAACCAGCCAACAAGTTAGTTAGTACATCGCTGATTCTTGTTTTCATCTCCCTGTTTGATACCAGCAGTAAGGCACAGAGGTTAGCCATGTAAAACTTTAAAATGAGCAGTTGCTGAGGATGAAATATTTGTTAAATTATTGTGCTTAAGTTTTGGAATCTGAAGTATTTAAAAGCTAATCAAAATAGTTAAGATAGTCCAGCATGTCCTAGGGGGTTTGAGGATAGAAGAATGTAATGGAAGCTGCTAGAACAGCAGGACTTTGATGCCCAACATGGTAAAGGGGTGGGAAGAGAAGAGCAAAGCTCACATAGCTCTTCACCTGTGGGAAGAAGCCTTCCTAATAAACAGCAGCTCATCTGTCTGCAGCAAGGCAGAAAAAGGTCATCACAGCGGCTGTTAGGCCTTTAATATTTTAATTTAGGCAATTATCAAGGGACCACATGTAGAACCTCTTGTCTAGGATATCCACATGAGGGTTCGATGATGGCTTTATTATACGATGACATCAAAAGATAAGCCACAGTTTCATTCTCTTAAAAAAAAAAATCATACTACTGTTATTCTCTTTGTAAGGTTTTAGAAGATAACATTGTCACATACCCAGAATGCTTTTATTTCTGTATTTGCAAATAACTCATGAAAAAATATGGATATTTATATTTGCATTCATATTCATATATGAAAATCTTCATTCTAAATGAAAATCATTCAGTGCACTTAAAACACATATTTGGCTTTCTATTTTCTGAAAACACACTTCAGGACATCAACTGAAGTTCTATGAAATTCAGTGTTTATAAAAACTAGAAAAGAATTAATGGGGCAGCTGTGAAAGCAATAATATCATAATCTACCTCCTAGACACATTTAAATTGCCCCAAAATGACAACTGGTGATCAAGTTACATAACAGAAAAGACATCTCTGAACTTGCATTTTTTAAATTGTAGTAGCAAAAAGTTAAAGAGCTAATTTTACCACCATGTATTATTTAAAACCATAGCATGCTTGCTAAAGCTGTGTTTAAAACTGAGATTGGTACAAGTTCTAAAACTTCTGACTTAAAACATATGCTACATAAACTGCTACAAAGCTAGTGTGGAACTTTGATGTTCAACCCACTAGTAAAATAACAGACAATAAAGAATATTTTTTTACATTCTCCTATAGTAACTTAAAACTTTAGTTACCTTGAATAACACCACCCTAAAAGTTAAGTTACCTAGGGCTCTTAGATATAACTATGTCTTTGTTGTTTAATAAAATTATCATCACAGACGGTATGTCATTTTAATTTAAAAATATATACGGTAAAATAAAGATGTATTAAATATAATCAACACATATCTTTCTATAAGCAAATCAACATTTCCAATTTAAAACTGTAACAAAGCATGAAAAACTGACTTACAATTTGCTGTCTATGCAGCTTTTTCCAAATGATAATCAGAATTCAAAAAAATGTCTAACAAATGAATTAAAATTAAGTCTCCATTCCTCCACTGAAACAAAGCCTATACCAAAAAATATATTTTAGCTTTTGCACTAAAAGCTTTAAGAATAAAGTCAAGTGGAATTGTAACCAAATTTCTAAGCAGAAAAAAAATTGCAGTCTGAAAGTAACAAATTTACAAAATACAGTGATCAAAGGTAAGAAAATCTTCATCTTTGCCACATAAGCTAATAGGAGGCTTAGAGAAGAATGTGAAAAACACAAACCAGAAGTTAACTCTGAAGTATGTATTCCTGTGATCAAAAACAGTTAAGAGCTGCAAAGGGTCTCCTGAGTTAAAACTAATCTAGTTTAAGAAGGCAAGGAAGAAAAACTACCACCACCACCACCCAAGCACCTGTGTATGAGTCTCAAACCATTGCTCGGAAACCTCGGGCATAATTTAAATGTCTTTCTTCACACAGTGGACCCTGTGAAACTATCAGCCAGCTCCCACCCTTCATTCTTGATTCACCTCTCCCCCTCAGCACAACTCCCAGCCCGCCATGTCTACCTGACAAGTGACAGCCCAATCTGATTAAATGCTTCCAAGGGAGGGGACTCATGGGCCTCCATGACAGGCCAAAAGTGATCACCATGGAGATACATAATTACAGCTGTCAGCGCATCTACTGTCCTGCTGACATCAATTTGATTGCTCCCAGCAATAATGATAGACAAAGCTTAGTGTGCACTCTCCCGCACCCAATCACTTTATCTATTCCTTGGTCCATTTAGCTGACATGCAACATTCACACAAGCAAATAACAGCAGTAAGCAGAACATTTAAGGCATTTTAATTGTTTTTTCTTTCTATGGATGGCTCACAACTGCAAATGTTATTACATAAAGCTCCTGCTGCAGCATTAATTGAAGAAAGATTTGGTGGGACAAAGACTGTAGGGGGTACAGTTTGTCCATTATCACTTGTACTTTCAACAGGTCTCACGTTTGAAAATTGCAAATTGCAAAAACTTGCGAGGGCAAAATGTTTGACATCCTGTTAGCTATTACAACATGGTGAAAACTTCTAACAACTAGAGTGATCATTATGAATTCTTATTTAATACTTTTTTGTTTGATTAAAAAAATGTTTAGATATGTCCCTATGATACTTGTTTTCTCATCTGCTATTTAATGTCACATAATGCCTGTTAAATCTTTACAATTTTTCTTCTGCCTTCAGGCTTTGAACACAGCATGGAGTCTCTGAGCCTAGAAAGGGTCAAGTCCCTTTAGAAAGCACATGGGCAAAAACAATTTAAAAAGTGAAATAAATCATATATCCAATAACATCTTCAAATTTAGAATTCTTCCTGTAATCTTTCACCATCTTCATGCCAGTAATCAAACTGAATGATCATATACACAGATGGTACAGCCTTGTCATCCACTAGCTAACATAATGTCATATATATATGCACTTATTACCTTGATTAAGATAAAGGGTACGTCCTTGTTCTTTTTATGCAACACAAATTATTTAAAGAACAGCTATTAAACACAGAAGAAGTACAGATACAGTGGACAGTGCTCACTTTTCTTTAACTGGTGTACATAATATGCACTTCTTAAAGTCTTTGACACTTAATAGAAACAGGTACATTTTGTTTTCCTTAATCCATTTAGATTAACGAGCTGATTTTGTGCTTGATTTCTTGACATCTGACTATACAGGGAAGCAGGATTAGATTTATTGAAAAGATTAAATTGTAACACAGAAATGTCATTTCCCATTCTTAGGATTCTATGAATCTTCTTCATTACGATTTTCAGAAGAATTGGGAACACTGTAAACTATCATTTATTTAGAAGTCAGATGTCTCCAGACTTCCCCTGTTAGGTGAATTCTGACTTTCCTGAACATCATACAGTACAAAATATGAAAAAACAAAAAACTGTGATTCCCCATGAATTTCACTTGTCATCCAATTTACACCCTTTGGTGTTGACATGCTTTAACATAAAAGTGTGACATAAATCAAGATTTTTAACCCCTCACTTGATATTACAGCTTAATGACTTACACCAGGTAGATGCAGTGGTTCTTGGTACTGAGACAATCTCCCAATAGACGGTAAACCAAAAGACTTGTAGGGGTCCTGAAAGTTCAAAGGACAGGAAGCACAGTCTTTGAAATATAAATCAGCACAAGTAAGGTTAAATATTTATACAATGAAGAAGTATTTATAGGCCTATTTACCAAATCACAGATTTCAGAATATTACTGTCTTATCCTCACTCTAGACAACTTAGAAATGTATTTAAAAATCAAACAGAACTGTAACCAGAATTTAGCCTGACCTTGATCATACTTTATTGAAATTGGTAAAATTCCAACTTTCTATAAATCTTCTTAGAATGCCTTGGGCAAAAATAAAATAACCTAGGAGATACATCAAAACATACTCAAGTTCAGAACAACAAATGTAGTGCACTAAAGATATTTGTTTTTCTTATTCTCAAAACAGCTCACATATGGTAAAATTTGAGCATTTTAGTTCTTCAAACAAAGACCTGAAAAGTAACTTTGCATGTGTGACTAGATATATGCTCCATTTGTAAATATCTTAGATCAGAATAAATAGTAAGTTCAGTGTTATAACAATAGGAAAGAAAAGAATACCACTTAAAATATAATATAATCAAGCCACAGATATTTCTCAAGATCCTTAAAAAAATTTCAAAAAAACTTCCAGAATTTTTAAACACAGATACTACTAATTTGTTTTTTATTTTACAGGTAGGCTTCGATGTCTAAAAGTAAAAGATGGTATAAATGTTTCCTTGCATTTTTGTTTTAACCATTTGAAAAAAAGCATTTTCAGATGTTGACTGCTTTATCTGATTAATTATAATAAAGTATTAAACTGAGAGTTTTTGAGTTAAATCCATAATTAAAACTATGAATTGAAGCTTTGCAATTTAAATTTTAGTTGTTATTTTTACATAATCATAAGAGATAAAATTATTAGGGAAAAAACTGTTGGAAAAAATTTAAACACTGAATTAACAACTGATGTGTAACTAAGGTAGCTCTCTAAAACACAAACACACACACACAAACACACACAGAAACAAATGCCCCTTTTCATTTCGATTGTGGTTTGAAAATAAGCAAAAACAAAAACCATGGTCCATTCAAGCACAATATTTAACTAATGCTTTCTTTCTCCTTAAACTGATTAGTAGCTATTCCTCCAACCAGAAAAAAACACATGAAAATTAATTAAACGCAATCCTTTAAAACTATTTTGAGTTACGTTAAAACGATCTAACCTTTTTTTCTGGTTCATTTCTGGATTACATAATCAAATCCTTGACACAAGGTATAAAACCCTAAGTTTACCTTGTTGTTTAGCTATATGTGGTCCCATAACTCAGGACACAACCACCATCCTTCCTCCCAACATCATTCATTTTACCTCGGCATAAACCCGACATTCAACTGCCCAGCCGTTGATGGGAATATCAGCTTGTTTGTGCCTGAGAGGGTAACCCTTGGCAACACGGATCATTTCTTGGACTAGGTCCAGGCCAGTAATGCATTCTGTGACAGGATGCTCAACCTGCAAGGCCAAGATGTGCCAGTCAACAGTTGTAGGAAAAGGTAAATAAACAGAAATAAGCAAGAACAATGTCAATAATTTCTGGGTAAAATAGGTTAATTATATTTAATATTCAATCATATTTGACTATTTTAAAATTTTTTTATTTTATTTTATTTTTCGGCTGCACTGGGTCTTAGTTGTGGCACGCGGGACCTTTAGCTGGGGCATGCACACTTCTTAGTTGTGGCACACATGCAGGATCTAGTTCCCAGACCAGGGATCAAATCCGGGCCCCGTGCACTGGGAACGCACTGGATTGGTGGTCTTACCCACTGGGCCACCAAGGAAGTCCCCATATTTGACTTAAAAACGATCTAAGAGAATAAAATTAAAGAATCAACACCATATAGTACAAAGCTGGGTAAGAAAAATGACACCCCAGAATTATTTGTAAACTATCTGTACTACTTTTCCCAGTTTTTATTTAGATGTGGTCCAACAATGTTTAACACTTTTAATTTTGAAACTAATTCTTACCTGAAAATTACATATTTAGATACAATCCTCAATGTGGCTGATCATCAACCTATTCTGCTACACTTAGCATGCCATCTATAGAGGCAGCTTATGATTTTCCAAAGCACTAATCTCTCCTGAGTTTCACCCACTTGCATGCTTTCACTAACCTGTCCTGACAAGCAACCAGACTAGCGTACTCTTACATCAAGGCAGCATAGCAGAAACGAGCAGATGGGTCCTGCAGGTTGTTTTCCCTCCAGACCTATGTGGGGAGTGCTTAGCATGCACAGTAACAAAACTGAGCCAGTGAAATCACTGCTCTCTCAGCAAACTGCTGGTAACTACTTTGGCTGATGCTGTCATGGGGATCCCTGGCCTTCCACACTACCACACGGGATACACATATACAAAACCATGCAGAGACATACAGGAATACTAACAGACATACACATCCTTAAAAATCTGATCGACTGCTTACAAGATCCTAAACTTAACTGAGCTAAAATAAAGCCACTTTGGCACTGGTAAAGAGTAGATAATCTGTCATGTAAAACCTTGAATACGTTTTGAAAATTTATATTAAACTTTGGCCACATCTGCTGCTTTGATACCAATTTCTTTTCTCATAAAAATTACGCATGTTCTAAATGCACTTCACAATAGTGTCTTTATCATGACATGTCATATTTCATACACTCTGACACGGGAAAAGGTCAATGAACAAATGAACTGTCTTCCCATCTTCAACTACACTAACTGAAGGACAGGACTTAGTCATTATAATAATCTTGAAGCTTATCATAAGCAGACAATGCCATGGTCTTTAAAAAAAAAGCTTTGTAAAAATAAACAGATGGGATCCATAATTAGCTCTGTGTGTGTTATGAGTTTGTTTACAGTTTCAACATTTTAAGACATTTTGACATAATTTTAATGACAAATCATCACTAAAATAAGCATCGACCCTTTGTAAAATAAATGTGACACTAAGTAAAGATCTTATTAGATAGTTTAGAATATATCAATATATTTTTGGAAGCAAACTATGATTTTGAGAGAAACAAGATTTTTAAATTTATTTATTTATTTTATTTTTTCGCTGCATTGCGAGCAGGGGCTACTCTTTGTTGCGGTGTGCGGGCTTCTCATTGCAGTGGCTTCTCTTGTTGTGGAGCACGGGCTCTAGGCGCACGGGCTACAGTAGTTGTGGCACGCGGGCTCAGTAGTTGTGGCTCGCAGGCTCTAGAGCACAGGCTCCATAGCTGTGGTGCACGGGCTTAGCTGCTCAGCGGCATGTGGGATCTTCCCAGACCAGGGCTTAAACCCGTGTCCCCTGCATTGGCAGGCAGATTCTTAACCACTGCGCCACCAGGGAAGTCCCAAGAAACAAGATTCTATATAATAAATATAATAAGAAAGGAACGATTGTAAAGCCCCTCTATTAGTGCTAGAAACAAATTTCAAGTAAGAAAGCATCTTACCACCATAACTATTCAAGAGCTGAACCTACTATGTGCCCAAGGGCTCTATATCATTACTATCCACATATATTTGTTAAGTGAGAAAACATTTTTAAAAGCTCAGAGAATGATTTAGTTTCATTCTTCTACGTCTAGTGCCCAGAAAAGTACATACTATATAGTAGACAGATAAATACACATTGAATGAAGGAGCAGCAAATCCAGAGTCACACCTATAGTAAGTGGTAGAGGCAGGGTTGGAATTTATGTCACTCCAGAGGCGATATGACCTTCCTGTTCTTCCTCGTGGAAAAATGTATATGAAAGAACGTAGTTAACATAAACAGCTATATAATTATGAGCTGCTGTCTTTTACAAAATACATTATTACAAAGTCTAAAGATTTGGTCAGTCAAAAATTCATTGTAAGGCTCTGTTTCACCTTAGAAGACCTCCCTATAATGTGTAGGAAAAAAAAGTTTATTAGACCTGTATTGAATAGAATCTAAAAATGGAACCACTTTAATCCAACTTAGAGTTACATAAAAGTAACAACATTTTACAGTCTTAATTAGTGAGCTTCAAGTATTTCAAACTAAAGTAAGTAGATAACTAAAATAATAACTAGCTGCTAAAGGCAAAATCATTAAAGAATTTTTTAAAAAATATCCACTTAGGTTCAAGTATTGTTAAAGTATACAAAATAGTCTGACGTACCTGAATTTTTCAGGTAACAGTAATATGTCTTTTTAAAGTAAAACAATTTTAAACATTTTTGAAAGAAATCTTTCTAAATACATTTTAATAGAACTCTGAAGTTATTTAACAGGATGTGTGAAACATTTCCTTTAGACCCTGTATTATTATTATCATCAGGAATCTTGTAAATGTAACACTGACTAAATAACCATGTCTATCCCCCATCCCTGAGAATTCAGGCATAGTTTCCCTGTGCAAGTTAAACTCAACACTTAAAAGATAAGAGCAGAGGTTACAAAGAGACAAAATGGCTGACAGGCCAAAATATAAATCAATGAATGATTTTAAAATATCATTAAAATACTATCCTCTAGCCCTTGAATAAAAATCTAGTGTTTAAAGACAAAAGGCCAGGGGTACCCTGTTCTTGCCTGGAGAACCTACCCCTGCAGGACTTTGAGGCCCAAAAGTCAACCCAGGAAGAAGAATGAAATGCCTGGAAGATTCTGAAATGCAGAGATATAAAAAAATGACTATGAGCACACAGCCTGTTGTCCGTTATTTATCCTCAGATATTCCAAATGTTTCCCTTTTTTATCCACAGAAAATAAAACTAGTGAACTATGAAAAAAAGAAAGAAAGAAAAGGAAAGGAGAAAGGAAGGGAGGGAGGTACGATCAATGGAAAGTAAAGGTGGCTAACTGGAACAAACGGTTATAAAAAGAAAAAAAATATTGGCCTCTGGTAAGCCAACAAGTTTACCTTGTCGAACCTAGAAGAAAAAACTACCTCTGAAAGTATGATGCTAATAAACATCTATTCTGAGGGCTAGTATGTGGGGGGAGGGGTGGGGGACAAGGTTTCTGAGTGACTTCTCTCTGGGAAACACTGAGTTACCTGAAGTTAAACAGGCTTATTTAAGAAAAGACTCCTCAGACCCACTAATCTGTGAATATGCCTCAGGACTCTAGGAGGAGACTGTACAGCACTTATGTCACCACACACCTTCTTTTGCAGACTATCTTTATGGACTGAGACTTCCATAGAACACACGCTTAGAAACAATGCCTTTTCTAAAGGTTCAAAACACAAACATTCAAAATACAAAACTCAATTCCCTTATGTGACTCTGTGCTCACCAAACAAATTTTTGGTCTTCATACATGATTTCCCTATTCAACAGAAATGTGTGCTAGTTCCAAGAAACATATGAATGAGGGATCCACCAGATAGTATGATTGCGCATTAGAGATGAATATACTGACATTCTAGTATATAAATCTTGTGATTTAGTCAGCAAAAGTAATACCTAGCCATAGAGAGAGAGAGAAAATACATACACATACAAGCCAAAAAAAGAGTAAGCCCATCCAAGTTAGAATTTCTGAATCCTCAAAGGCAAATTATTGAATGGGATATATTCATCAAGTCAGTGCTACTCTGCAGGTTCTATCAGTAACTTATAAATCAGTTTGTACTGGCAATGCCCCTATCTTGCCATGAATCTTTTGTTCAAACAGATACAAACAACTACAATCATCAAATGCCTTATTATGATACATAATCACACTCAAGGTCTAGAATGAGTATGTATAGTTCTATACACCCACCTACATTAGATGGTCACAGTCAGCCAGGTTTTTATAGATCTATTTGCTATTTTAATTTAGTCTTCTTAGTCACCATCGAACTGTCACTATTGTCAGTGTTTATGTAGACCTCTTGCCACTCTTACTAATTTGTTGCTTCAAATGTATTTCTCAAAAAAATAAATAACTGAGCTTATCAAATGCAATGGTGAGGTAAACTAGGTTTTGCTTCACCTGAGTTCTTGACGTATCAAATTTCAATAGTAATAAATTTAGAAAAGCTAAATCTTTCTGGCTTTGTGTTGTCATTATCTACCTTCTGATTCTAAAAGTTATAATCGTAAATTCTGCCACTGCCACTGTAGTCTTTAGCCTTATTCCTCCTTAAATACAATCTAGGAAGTATCTAAAACTAATGAAGGAGAGAATGAGATATGTCCAGAGGCTCAAAGTATCTCCCTATAAGATACCTTCATTAATGACAAGGGGAGAAACACTAACACTACGGTGGGGAAATGCAAGAGATGCCACCTTTTTTTTTTAATTGGAGTTTAGTTGCCTTACAATGTTGGGTTATTTTTTCTGCTGTGCAGGAAAGTGAATCAGTTATACATATACATATTATCTACTCTTTTTTAGATTTCCTTTCCATTTAGGTCACCACAGAGCACTGAGTAGAATTCGCTGTGCCACACAGTAGGTTCTCATTAGTTATCTATTTTACACATAATAGTGTATACATGTCAATCTC